ATTACTTTTAAATCTGGTTATGTAGTTAGTAATGTAATGGTAGCAACAGACAATGCTAATAATATTTATGTTTCAGCAGCAGCTACCTACATATTTTTCTTTAAATTGAACCCTGATTTCTCAATGAACAAATAAAGCTATTGGACAGCACCATTTGAATACAGATTAACTAATATCCAATTTCACAATGGAAATATTTTTTATGTTTATTAAGAAGATGATAGTTCTACATTTGTTTCAAGTTTTATTCTTAAAGAATCATAATCCTCTGGATTTCAGAATTTAAACTGTTTTGACCCTATACTTCTTACACCTACAGATACTAATATATATGCTACATTATCTTAGCTATCAAGGACTTATACTGTAACGACTCCACTTGATATTGATGAAGTGGATTTAGTTTTTGTTAACACAAACTGGGATTACTTTACGCCTTAATATTTCTCCAGAGTATGATTTTTAATTTAACAAATTTTAGTTTGTATCAATTTCGTTTACTAATTCATAAACTGATAAATACACTTGGGGATACACACCTTTTACAAATGTATTTAAACGATATCCCTAGCATACCATGAATTGTCACTCCATATCTAACATTATGACTTTTAAGGATCCACTGCGCACTACGATTGAAGTATCAAGATCAACTGGGACTAAAACATACCCATACACTCTTCCGGGAAATAATTGTTAGGGAAGACCTTGGTCTATGACATTTATTTAAGGATAATCAGTAGCTGTTATATAATCATGGATTTCATGGGATAATGTTTGATCAATAAACATTGATACAAACAACCCTTGGTATCCGACTACTGTAAGTGTAAGATTAAGATACTTCGATACTACAAGTGGTTATACCTCGTTATCTATTTATGATAATCCTTTATTAATAAGAGTGGTGAGCTCTGCCAATGTTACTCTATCACAATCAAATATTTCTTATTGTTGGTAAAATATTTATCCGATCGGCTATAGCTGTGAAAGTGCAGGGATGTTTAGTCACATTTAAGCCATATTCGTAAACAAAGATGACATGAATATTTTAGTAGGTGGAGAAGTTTGGAGTGCTAGCCACCATATATATGTTGTTGACGGTTCAGCAGATGGCTTTCTGTAAAGATCATCTGAAACTGGTTTTGTAGAATGGATTAGCACCTATTAGTCTAGTCATGGCTAATAAGATAAAATCCATTCAATAACAATGACTGAAGGTTGGATTTATTGCTTTTATTCAGCTATATCTGGAGTTAGCATTGATATTAGAAGTAATGGCATCCTCAAAATTACATATGGGGAAGGAAAAATAATCTGGGCAAGAAGATTAGTAGTATAGAATCCGATAGATTCAGCATCTTTATATGTAAATGTGATCTGGGAAATGGTATATGATCCTCTAAATCCGTCCTATTTTTTAGCTAATATTGAAATGCAATGGAATACAAATATCCCAGTTACATGGGCTATAATGTTCAGAGATGACGGAATCAGTTTAGTCACTAGATTTAACATATTATCTAAACCTGCATTTGCTAACAGTAATGCTATTGTGTCTAGTGAAGTCGTTTTTCATACTACAGAAAATTTCGTTTTCATCTCTTAAGGAAATTA